GTTTTTTTTTTTTTTTTTTTTTTGGTACTGGGGTTTGAACTCAGCCCGTTGCACTCACAAGGCAGGCAGTGGCACCACTGAGCTACATCCCCAGCTACATCATGAGTTTAGACCAACCTAGACTACATGGCAACACCTTATCTCAAAAAACAAAACAAAACAAAAAAAACATTAAAATAATAATATATCTTTATATAATATATATTAAAAAATATATTCACCAAAAGGCTTGTATCTAAAGAATATACTTTTAGAAAGCTTTTTACCAAAAAAGAAAGCTTTTACAATTTTATAAGACACCAACCCAACTTTTAAAATGAGAAAAAGATTTGAACAACCAAGTCATCAAAAAAATTGAGAGAATGGTGGAAAATAAATATATAAAAAGAGTCCTACTAGTATTAATCTTTACAAAAGCAAAGACAATCACCACTAAACACCCCTCAATAGGGCTAAAGCACAAGTCTGAGAAAGATAGTTGACAACGACAATGGAAAGCACAGAAATGCTCGTAAACTACAGGTGGGCCTATAAAATGTTACAAGCACTTTGGAAATCATTTGGAAGTTGCTTTAAAATCCAGGTATCACCCAGGTGTGGTGGTGCATGCCTGTTATCCCAACACTCGGGAGGCTGAGGCACGAGGATCGCTGTGAGTTCGAGACCAGCCTGGGGTACATAGTGAGTTCCAGGTCAGTCTCAACTACATGGTGAGACCCTGTCTCAAAAAACCAAATTTAAAAAAAACAAAAAAAAAAAAACAGATATCAGATGACTCTGATAACCCTCTTTTAAGTATCTGACAAAGAGAAACAAAAGTAACTGTCCACAAAAAGATCTGTACGCACAAGTTCATACCAGCTTTTTCTGGAACAGACAAAAACCGAGAAGAACCCAAGTGTTTTTCAACGTGTGAGCAGATGAATAAACTACAGTGCATTCACTCTGACAGCTCCTAAGTTTACAACTTCATTCCTTCAAGTGCAATGCACTTTGCTTATGTTACATTTCATAATAAAGCGAAATCTAGAGGAAAGAAAGGCCATTGCCTCCTCTGCTCAAAACCTAAAAACAGGACAAAATACTTACTGGCAGCTGTAGTCCTTGCGTTTTCTTCTTTTTCTTTGACAATCTCCTGTCCTTCGAGAGCATTTTTGCTTTCATCCATGCTAATCCTATCTCTGAAGATCTTGAGCGACCTGTTAGGGAAATGGTTTGTGTGAGAAAGTTCAAGGCAGTCCAAAATCGAATTTTTAACTGTAGTTAAAAGAAAGGATTTAAAGCTGTTTTCAAAAATGTTTACGCCTTACTTTTAATCTCCTCGCTCTTCATCGGTTTCTCCTCCTTGTGGAATCTAAAGCTATGACTGCCAGCGAAGGGTCTGTCTCTGCGGAGAGGGCTGACCCAGGAGGATCTACCTGGCCGCAGGCACGGTCGCGCCCCCTCCAAGCACTCAGTACTTCGGGACAGGTCCGCTGAGTTCTCAGACAGACACCTGCCTTGGATCCGCGGGGGACACGGCACACTCCGAGTTGAGTCACCCTTACGAGAGGAAGGCAAGCAGGCCTGCCACTTGCTCTTGAAGTCAAACACACCCGTTTCATCGCCTTCGGAAAATGCCAAGTTCACATATCCATCTCCAGACCGTGAGCTCTTGGGTCGGGAAGAGAGGGAAGCCATTGTGGTGGGCGTGGGTGAACCAGTCAGAGCGGACTGAACCTGCTCCACTGTGCCTTGCTCTTCTGGAATCTCAGCGACTGGCTCGTGCTGCTCTCCGGGTTCTGTCACTGATGCTCGGCCTGAGGCAGCTGGAGTCTGCCTGGTCAGATGACCAGGGACCCCACTCTGCACAATCTCTTCATTTGCTAGTACGTCTGCATCTGCTTGCCCAGATGGTTTGGAGAGGGGCGAGGCCGTTTCTGCAGAAGGAACTTGCTTTAGATCAGAAGGAACCAGAAGAAACTGGCCATACTTAGAATTTGCATGCCTGTTGGGAGACACCCCAGAATCGACTGTACTGTTTTCTGCTTCTTGCTCCTCCGGGCCATCTCTCATATTTGAGGCCGCTCTCTGACTGGCCATAATCTCACGGGCTCCATTCTGCATTCTTGAGGGAAGCTGGCTTCTAGCCAAGCTCCGCAGCAAAGAAGGGGGCATGCTAAAGTATCCGTATTTTGTCTCTCTGGGGATCTCTGTGCTGCCCAAGATCTTTGTGTAGATGACATTGTTCCAGCTGTGGGGAAGTTTTCTGCCGACAGAAAACTTCCTGTTGGCCAGGCGAGCCTCGTCCTCTTGCAATGTGTCGACTGCAGAAAGAACCTTCAGAGTATCCACAGCCAAGGCAGAGAGGTCCTGCAGGTGTCCCACCTGACTGTCCAAAGACAGCAGGGAATCCTTTACAAAAGACACCTTTTCATTCATTTCGTGCAGCTGGAAATACATTTCTGAAACCCTAAAGGTGAAGGTGGGGAGAAAATCAATAAACATGTTAAGCCAGTGGGACTTTTTTTTTCTTCCTCTGTCCCTGCCCTACTGCCATGGCTAAGTGATTACTAAGCCTTAGTTGCTTCCTAAAGTCTGTCTCCCACCTTCTCTCTCCACTGCAGTATATATTCTTTTCCATACAACTACATTTACTCCTGTATTCCCACTGTGACGCCAGGGAGGGAAAATCACAAATGAGCACTGCTACTTCTTACTTCTTTCTAATATTTCAGAACCACATTTGCAGCTGCCTGCAACTAATCCCCCTTTAATTATTCAATCAGTCACCCCATTTTTATTCACTAATGTGCTCGTTCGTTCACATGACAAAAACTTGAGCATCTCCTATTATAAGCAAACACTGTACAATTTTGATGGAAAGAAAAACCATTGCTAATTTTAAAAATCATTTTTAATATGTTAACCCAAGATTTTAAAGTTGCAGCACATTCATGCAAAAGCAAAACATGTCTTCATTTTATAAATACAAAGGTAAATTTCATGTTTATCAGATTAAGTATAACAGTTTCAGAGAAAATGAGAGAAAAGAAAGTGTTGGTTAACATTTATCTGTAAATATATCTTTTGAGGTGAGAATTGTGTTGTGCTCCATCCCACCACACCACTAAAACAAAATGTTGAAGTCTTAATCCCATTACTCCTACATGTGGCCTTTATTTGGAAATAGTCTTTTTTAATTTTTACTTTTATGAGTATACATTTGCAGTATAGGATTACATTCATCATAGGGAAAAAAAATAATAACTTGGTGAAGAGAAAAAAAGAAACAGATTACCAGGAATCTGAAAGGAACTGACTGGAAAATTAAAAACCACAGAGAAGTTGCAAACATGAACCACAACACAAAGAAAAGAACAAAGTAATCTAGAAGCTCAGCTTGTCTCACTGAAGACACAAGGTAAGCACTTAGGACTGGCGACTCCCGGGAGAAACAGTGAACCAGGCCATTGGCACAGTCCCCAGAGGAAGCCCACAGCTTCTACAAACTTCAAAAGCAGTGCAGGGTTTTACTTCAAGGTAACTCCTTTCACATGGCAGGCAACAGCCAGAGAGGAAATCCAGTGTGATGCCCACCATACTGCCAGAGAATACTTAATCAGGTGCCATTGCAGAGGTTGATGATTTAAACCTGGAACCCAGAGTAACTAAAAAACAACTTCACATCAGGGTTTCCAGTGTAGCCCTCCCACATAACTGGGTGAAAGAACCATGGAGACAGTCAAAGACCGGAAGCAGGCTAGAAAGAGATTCTTTCAGAAGTTTAAACTCAGGCTGGAAGGGACACAGGCCCCACATTCTCTGGCAAGAACCAGGTGAGGCTTGTGTTATGTATAGAAACAGCCGAATGTTAAAGTGCAAGCATTAAGTACTTGAACTCTTGTCCTTCTTCCTACATCAAGCACAAATCTAAGATCTGACTGTGTTTCCCATCTACCAGTGTGAGCAAGGGCACACTTTGACTTGGAAGGTTGCCACCGCCTGGGGTGAATGGGTAGGGTCGCATCTGGAACATGGGGCACCTCATGAACCCAGTGGCCATAAAGCTAGGTAGAAAAAACTGACTTGCTAGAGTCCAAACCTGTGGATCCTAGAAAGACAGCCTGTAGTTAAACATAAAGAGAAAAAAAAATTGTTTCTTTTCTTAGACATTTTTCCCCCTCTTTCTCTTGCACTGCTTATTGGGATTTAAGAAATTCCCCTTCTTCTTTTTACTTTTTTATTTCTTTTTTATCTTTTTACTTTTTAATTATTTTCCTTTTAATGTTTTCTTTTTAAGCTCTTTTTCTCCTTTTTATCTCTTATCTTCTTTTCTTGTTTTTTCTATTACCTTTATTTAATTCTATAAATATCCATCTACTCATCAGTAGAATTCTTTGCCTTATGTTTTCTCATTTCCCACTGTGTAGTTTTTCCAATTTTTCTTCCTTCATTTTCCCCTCCCCAGTGCTATATATATTTACTAGTATTACCACTAAGCTTTATTACTACTTATATAGTTGGTTAACTATACATTATTACTCTTACTATTATGTTATTATTAGTAGTGGTGGTGCTATCATCACATTTCGTAGGTATATACTGAGTGGCCATATCTGGCTTGTCTTAGTGTTTATACTATAAATATAGACATCTCTTCTATGGATAAGGTGGTAGATTGTTGGTTCTCATGCTATGTCAATATCCAATTTGTCTTAGATGCTATTATTATTGCTGATATATTTGTTATTGCCAGGATCACACAGTTGCTGCTAATAGGTTTTCTCTGTATGCCAATAATCACATTACCCTTGTGTCATTAACAATGCTACAGTCCATTTCCAGAGAAATGGGTGTCGGGCCATTTGTATTACATCCTCCCCTCCCAAATTAATGAAGGTGGTCAGATCTTGGGACAGAAACATGGTACTATAGTTAGCCATGCCTAGAGTACATCCCTGAAAAGTAGAAACTAACTAAAAAGCTCCATATTACCAACAAGGTCTTTCCACTGTAAGCACCCACAAACCTCAGCACAAAACAAAACAAACAGAAACATGACAAGACAACACAATGCTTCCCAAAACTCCCAACTCCTCCAAAGCATGGGGCATTGAAGAGGAGAAAAGCAAAAGCCACACAGCTGAATTATTTGAACAAATAACAGGATTTTTTTTTAAAAATCAGTAAGGCACTAGGGAGGCTCACAGGAGATATAATTAAACAGATAATAGATGATAACAAGATGATCAGAGAGCTTACAGAGGACACTAATAAAAACATAGCTGAGCTAAACAAAACAATACAAAACATAAACAATTTAGCAAAGAATTAGTCCATGAAATGATTTCAAACAGAAAAACAATAGATTAAAAGTTATATTGAAAGTATGGGCAGCAGAAGCAGACAGTGTGAAAACAGTGTGTCAGAGTAGAAAATTGTGCGGTTGTCAAAGACCATTTACTCCGAGAAAAATGAGAGAAACTAAAAACAAAATGACATAAAATAAATGGATCCAACAGCTGCTAGATGACACAAAGAAGACTAATCTAAGATTAACTGAAATAAGTGAAAAATCAGAAGACAGAAACAATGGCATTAAAAACCCTATTTACAAAAATAATGGCAGGAAAGTGTTCCAAATATATGGAAAGAATTAAATGTATAGCTAAGTGAAGCATATAGAACCCAAAGGCCACAATGTAAGAGAACCTCCCATGACACATCATAGATAAAATCCCTGAAGTCCAACACAGGGACAGAATCTTAAAAGCTGTTAGAGAAAAGCAAAAAAATCACTTGAAAAGATAAACCCAAGAAAATAGTAGCACACTTCTCCACAGAAGTTAATGGTTAGGAGAGCTTAGAATGAAGTGTTTCAAGAACTAAAAGAAAACAACTTCCGAACTAGGCATATATATCCTGCAAAACTATCTACCAAAATAGATGGACAGATAAGATATTACAAAGAGAACCTCAAGAAATTCCTTACCACCAAACCAGTATTACAAAACAATTCTCAAGGATATCCCAGACAGAGACAATGAAGCCAACAATGCAATAAGTCAAACAGAATGAATACACCAGGCAGGGTGAGCAGTTACAGGGAAAGGGGAAGGGGGATCAGCAGCAGGAGAATAATGCAATAACATGAAAAGTCAATAACTCTCAGCCATAACTCAAAGTGAAAGGCCTCAATTGCCCAAACAACAGACACAGATTGACAGAATAGATCAAGAAAGAAAACTCAAAAATATACAACTATAAAAACACATTCAATCCTGAAACAAATAAACAATTTAAAAATCAAGCGATAGAAAAATAATATTCCATTCAGTGAAACCCTAGAAAAAGAGGAGAAGCTATCCCAATTTCATTCAAAGTGGACTTCGAGCCAAAATCGATCCAAAGAGGTGGAAAAGGAAATGATTCAATAGGGAGAGATAACAGTTATAAAGATATATGCACCAAACACCAGTGCACCCAAATTCATAAAACAAACACGACTAGACATTTTTTAAAATCATATAAATACCAATACAATTATAATTGGGGCTTTCAATGCCCCATCGTCACAGCTATACAGATTGGCTACACAAAAGCAATAAACAAAGAAATATTAGAGTTTAATGAAACCTTCAAACAGATGGACTCAATAAATATCTACAGAATGTTCCACCCAACAATAGCAACAGAATACCCATTCTTCTTGGTAACACAGGGACCCTCTTCCAACCTTAACCACATGTTAACCCATAAAGTATGCTTAAGTAAATGCAAAAGAATCAAAATCATCACATGCATATTATCAGATCATTGTGCATGAAACTAGAAATCAATGGCTAAAAATAAAATAAAAATTATTCCAACACCCGTATATTAAACAACATGCTCTTGAATAATCTTGACCAATAATATTTGGTAACAGAGAAATCAAGGAAAAATTAAGACAGTTCCTACAATCAAACAGTAATGCCAGCACTATAAACCAGAACTTATTGGACACAATGAAGCAGCTCCAAGAGGGAAATGTATAGCTGCGAATGCTCACATCAGCGAAAAAGAGCAAGTCAAAATAAATACCTTAATGATACACCTCAAAGTGCTCCTAGAAGAAAAATCCAAAGCTAGTTATGGAAAGAAAATTGTAAAGATCAGGCAGAAATTAAAGAAATTGAGACCAAAAGAAACATTATAAAGAATCAATGAATCAAGGGCTGATTCTTTGAAAGAATAAACAAACCCCTAGCCAATGTAATTTTCTTTCCCAAAAGGAAAGAAAACAAAAAGCAATACAATTAGAAGTCAAAAAGGCAAAATCAGAATGCACTCTGCCAAAATCCAGATTATTAATAACTACTTTGAAAACCTATGTTCTAATAATTATAGAATTCAGAAAAAATAGATTCCTATACATATGAATTATCAAAACTGAACCAAGAAAATCCTCTGAACCATCCAAGAAGAGAG